GAATCATGGCTTACGAGCTGCTGCGGGGCTGGGTAGGGCTCCGGGACGGGCCGAGGTCTAAGAATGCGCTTTCTGAATAGCTGCGGAGAGGGAAGGGAATTTCTTCTCATCCTTCTGGTTTTTTCCCCCAGAGACCCTATGACATCCACTCCAACAACCCCGTGGAGTCTTTAATTCAGCTCTTCAGTACCGTGAGCGTTCAGTACTCGTCTGCGTGGTCAAAAGAAATGGTTGCTCTATTAAGAAAGGTAAATAGACCTGCTGGTGTGGTTTACGTTGTACATTAGCCGCAGTGTGCGCGAGGCTAGCTGGAAAATTTTCGGCGTATTAATAACTAATGTAAAGTTGAAATAGGACTAATTTTTATTACTTCGTTCAGGCTTATGCACAGATTAATCTTGTGTTTTGTTTGTTTATTATCCCTGTAATAAGATGCATTATGTTTGATAGCAAGGGAAGGAAAAAGGCTGGTTTTTGGTGTGACAATCGAATTCCTACCTGGGCTGGAACTCTGCCCTTCCAGCATCCCCCTCTGTGATCGCCGCAATCTAAAAAGGCAGCGATCGTGGCCGAGACGGCCGTGTGAGGTGGAGGAGCGTGTGCTGTGTTAGCTGCTCCCTCTCGCCAGTTCTGCCGGGCCGAAGGGTCTGATTCGGCGTGGTCGGTGGTGAGAACCCTCTGCGGGGGTTCCATGGCTATGGGACAGTCTGCTGCTTTCCTTGTACTGCACACGAGAAAGTTGTTCATTTGGAGGCTGTAGTTTCAGCTTCTGCTTGCTAGAGAACTCAGACAAGTAGCTGACGGGTGTGCTGTAACAAGGGTGTACACGGCGCTGACGGCGAGTAAGGGACTCCGGTGTAAGTTAATGTTGGGTGGACAATTTACGTAACTAGGTGTTGTTGGAACGAGCAGCGGCATTGTCAGTTAGGACTGCAGCGGCGCGTTCCGCAGGTTCACGTTGCCATCTGCTGGGCTGCTGGCAGCCGGCTTCCAGACACCGGGTGGGAATTAAACGTCTCGGCAGGAAAATGCCAGCAGCCACCTCAGCCTGGAAGGACCCTCCGCGTCCCCCAGAGCGCGGGGGTTTCCGTGCTCGGCACGCCCCAGCTGTAATCCTGCCCGCTGGGGCAGCCCGGGGCTCTGCTGGTGCCCGGGGGCAATGTCGGGCACCCACCCGTGCGCCGGGGCCAGCTCCCACTCGCCGCTCCTGGCATCCACGCCGTGCATCTCCCTCCCCATGGGCCAGTGCCACCACAGCGGCCTTACTCAGGAGTTGGGAATTCCTCCCTTTTCATTTTAAAGCTGAAGGTAATTTTATGGTGTGCAAAAGTGCCTGAAAAGTTCCCCCAGGCGCAGTTGCTGGTTGGGGTGGTCTTTTACCCCGCGCCCTTCACAAGCATCCCCGTGCTTGGGCGCTTGGCGGGCTGTAAGTATGGGCACCGTCACCTGCTCCTTGCGTAGTTACCTTTGGCTTTGGAAAAATATTCTGTGCTGACTTTATTTTCTGCAGAAAGGTTGTAACCACCTATAATTGTGTGCCTAGAATTATGCCACCGTTTTTTAAAGGAATCAGTCCTCGACGGGCATTTTGTAGAGGTCCTACCGTAGGTGTCCGTCAGTTGGGAGACCGTTACATGCTCAGTTTGCAGACGCCCAAAACCGAGCTGGGGTGGCTGGAGGTCAGGACGCAAATTCTAAGTGCTCTGGAGAAACGGCGAGGACTGGTGCAGGGGTGGGGTGTGGCTCTGGCGGCAGCGGCATGGGCAGGGCCACGGCTCCTGCGGAGGGGCGAGGGCGGATGCGACTCCCCCCCCCCGGGCGCCCCCAGGATCGTCCCGCACGTGGGAGAGGAGGGACACGCGCGGGGCTCTGCGGGTGCACTGCAAAGGTGGCCTCGACTGAGCTTCGGTGAAGATTTTCACAGGGGGAGACTAGGCACGGAATTTTCTGGAAGCCCTACCCAGATCCCGTGTTACACATACCTCCACGTTAGGCGTATCTCCATGTCAGACATGCCTCCACGTTAGGCGTACCTCCCGCAGTCCTGGAAGCTGTGACTCACGTCAGCTGAGCGTGCAGCGTGGTACACGGTGCTGAGTTCTTTGGAAAATGGTGTCTGTCCTCGGACGGGGGTCTCAGTGCACCAAGAGATCTTTTTTTTTCCTGTGTGCTTAGTAATCCGTGTTGTGATAAACAGAGTGGTATCCCCTGGTGTCACAGAAGGGGCATGAAAACAGGACACGTGGAGGTTGAAACTGGAACGATGAGCGTCGGGGGGAATGAACGTCTTTACCAGGGAGCGAGGTCTGTCCCCGGCACGGGGAAGAGTGCGCAGGGGCGGCGGGGCCGGCGTGCTGCGGTGAAGGGTCCTGCCTCACAGTGGGCATGGGAGGAGCAAACCCGCGCAGGTCTGAGTGCTCACAGCGCCAGATTCTTGGCTGTCTCATTTCACAACCTCCAGAACAGTTTTCCAGTGTGTTTGTTTTCTGTAGCCTGTTAGGTATTTCCCATGACAGGAGGGTGGCTGCGTGGCTGAACCATCTGACTCCTCTGAAAGGCAGGATGATGCGGGGCTCCTTTTCTTTCTCCTCTGATGGGAATGCTTTTCTCTCCGCAGCTGCTGACGGTGAACCCCGAGCATCGCTTCTCCTGCCTGGCCGACGTTCAGGCCTCGGCGTACTTGTCCGGCGTGGTCTGGAGCGACGTCGGCGAGAAGCGGGTGGAGCCGGGCTTCGTCCCCAATGTGAGTAGGAGCGCGCCGTGTCCCGGCCCCGAGCAGGGGCCACTTACCGTTAGAGGAACCGCTGCGTTCAGCAGAGGCTTTCTGATGGAGAAGTAGTTCCTGAGTGTATCTGCTGCAAGAGAGAGTCTCTGCTGTGCCTAATGCGCGCGGTGTCGTGTCGTGTGTCCTGGCAGAAGGGCCGCCTGCACTGCGACCCCACCTTCGAGCTGGAGGAGATGATTCTGGAGTCGAGGCCCTTGCACAAGAAGAAGAAGAGGCTTGCGAAGAACAAGTCGAGGGATAACAGCAAAGACAGCTCACAGTCTGTAAGTGGTTTCTGGGGTAACGGCCACCCGGGAAAAAAGGCTGAGCTGCTGAATTTGGGGATGTACAGCAGCGGTTACTGCGACAGTGCAGTAACTGCAGATTTATTTTGATAAAAACATTTGCCCAGTGGAGTCTTCCCAACAGCCAAATGTTCCTTTTATGTAAGTTTGATAAAACTCTTTTCTCAGTCATCTTTACCTTGGAAAATGAAGTGAGAAACAGAGGTCTAGGCACACCAGTCAAGAGAAAAACTGGGAAAAAAAAGTCCATACTACCTCCACCTTTCCGAGAGGCGCTGCCCAGGTGTCTCCGGCAGCTGTCAGTGGGGTTGCACGGTAGTAGTTTATCCAAGCGCTGATCATGGCCATGCAGAAACATGCAACCAGTCAGTCCCGGTTTTGGGTAACTGTCCCATGTTTTCTCTCGCCACGTGAGCTGTGCCCTGGGTAAGCCCCCGTGGCTCTGCCAGGCTCCCACGCCGGGACGAGCTCTGGCTGTGCCAGCTGGGCAGGCTGCCACGTGAGCATGGGAGAAGTGTGGTCACAAGCGCTTTCTACAGAGGAGGATCCATTAGCTGGGAAATGAAGCTGGAGACGAGATGCATTTGTTTCATTTTTTCACTGTGGGAGTTACGGTGCTTCTGTATCACTGGGGAAATAAATACAAGAATCTCGGTTTTACAGAGCAGATGCATCCCAGGAGTAAAACCATCTCCTTACTTGGCAGAGCAGGTACTCGGTCCTGCAGAGAACAGATTTTGTAAGGGGTGTTGGCCGGTACGGTGGTGTGCTGGAGGAGACCTGTGTGAGCAAGGGCGCGTTACCCAGTGTCCCTGCCTCCCCCGCACAGAGCCTCTGAGCTGTGCCAGGCATAGAGTCACAGAATCGTCATAGATCAGCCCAGGCTAAGGGAACAAACGTTGCTCCCCCCGCGAGAGCAGGACCATCCCCTGTGTGAGAGCAGCGGGGTGCACCGGGCAGGGTTTTGCCTGTCTTGTCGTCTGCGCCAATTAACTGCCATGGCTCCCTTTCCTCTTCAGCGGGAGTTAATGCTGCGATGAATGAGGCTTCCTGTAAAAGGACAAAGAATAAATCAGGAAGCAAGGGAGGAAAAAAGCAGAATAAGCAAATTTGCAACTACCTCTCCGAGGTTTTGCTGCCAAGAGAGTTAAGGGCACTTTGCCTGCCAGCACCCACG